ACAGTGATTGGGGCATCTCCCACTTGAGGAAAAAGTTGGGGAGAGACAGGCGTGGGGGGCTCCCCCAGGGAGAACTTCAGATGGCAGTGGGGAGGGCGGGGTCCCTGCCTGGCCTGGCGGGACAGCCGGGGGCGGTCCCGGGCTCCCCTCCGTCCCGCCTCCAGGCTGGGGGCCTGGCTGGCCGACGTGGCGCCGCGGGCGGGACACAGGCCCGAGGCGGGCAACGAAGTTTGACTCGGGCGCTACGCGCGCGGATCCCCAGCGTCCCCGGCGCCCCCAGCGCGCCCGCGGGTCCGGCTCGCCATGGGTAAGTCCCCATCGCGCGGCTGCGCGCCCCTCGCCCTCCTGGCGGCCCCCGACCCATCCCGCCCGGCGGGACCGCAGGCCGGGGCTGGGGACTAGGCGGGCCTGGCACTGCCTTCCTCCTGCTTTCTGCCAGGGACAAAGGAGCCCTGCTGGCCCGGCGCTGTCCTGGCCGCCTTCCTCCTGATAACAGCCCCGGGCCAGGGAAATGTCGCTTCTGCAGGGGAGGAAATGGGCCCAGTCCACCCGCACCACATGGGCAGGGCGAGGGGTCCTGCAAAACGGACAGACCCTGCCCTGGACAGGGCTCGGAGAGGAGAGGACAGTCCAGTGCTGAGCATCTCTAAGATTTCTTTCATCTTCTCTGGACTCGGAAGGTCAAAGGGCCAGTCAACCATTCATTCTTTAGTGAGCATCTACTTTGCGCCAGACAGCAGGGGAAGGAAGTAAGCATAATCCTCTCTCTCCTGGAGCTGTTGTGCTGGCTGAGCTGCTGGATGAACAAGTACTGAACACAGTGCACAGTGAAGCCATGCGAAGGCCCCAGGCTTGGGCTTCGGTGGGTGGGAGGCCCTGGAACCGAGATCTTCCCCTGCAGAAGCAAGCCTTGCTGGGATCCGGGGGAAGAGCTTCCAGGTGGCAAGAGAAGCAAGTGCAAAGGCCCTGTGTCAGAATGAACTGGTATGGGCCGAGCCAGAGCGGCTGGAGCCTAGTGGACAAGGGAAGATGGGTTGAAAAGATGTCAGGGGTGACAGGGCCAGATCACCCAGGGCTTTGTAGGAAGTTTGTAGAAGTTTGGGTTCTATTCCAAATGATACGGGGAAACAGGAGAAGGGTTTTAAACTGGGGTTGAGGTAGGGGGCAAAACCTGACTTATCTCTTAAAACCGCACTCTGGACTGTTCTGTCGAGAATCATATAGTTGCCAAGAATGGCTATGAAGTAGGTAGGCAGGTATATACAGTATGTAAACTCTCCCATTTGTAAATAGAGGAGGTACAGAGAGCTTAAGTGTATTGCCCAAGACCACACAGCTATGGAGAAGAAAAGTTCCAGGTTGGAACCCCAGCCAGTCTGTATTACTAACCACTGTGCAACCCAGCTTTCCGTGTACAGAGCAAGGGCACACCTGTCACCCAACTCCAGCCCTGTCTCTAAAGTCCATCACTTCTGGGGTACAGGGACCCAGTGCCTGGGAGAAACTGGAACCTACAGAGGCCAGGGTCCCCAGGAAACTGAGCTTGGCTCTGGCCCTTGTTCCTGCCCCTCTGTTCTTCCTAAATTAATTCAGTAGCTAGTTACTGGTCACCTACCTTGGGCAGAGCCAGGGCTGGGTGGTGGAGGTATGCTGGGAAGGGACAGGTTCAAAGTAATCCCCCTGTCTTTGCCCTCCTTAGAGCCCCCAGGCTGCTCTCTCCACAGTTCAAGGACTGGACTCTGTCTACAGACTTTGGGATCAGGGCTGGGTTCCAGCCTCAATGCTCCCTCTTGGTCATGACCTGAGACAGTTTGTCACCTTCTCTGACTTTCATATGGTTGCTATAAAATACCCTTATCACAGTGATGCTTATCAAACGTAAACTTGAGATGCTCAGCTCACACCTGCATGGGACAAGTGGTCAGTTAATGTGAGCTTTTTTTTTTTTTTATCACACTCAACATTGATAACTCATCAGACTTCATGAGTTCAAATCCCTGCTCTGTCACTTACACACTGTGTCACCTTGGACAAATGTCTTGGCCTCTCTGTGCCTTGGGGGTTCCATCTATAAAATGGGAATGACGATACTGCCTATGGCGTAGGGTTGGCAGGCAGCTCCCCTACAGAGGATGGGGTCTGGAAGCCAACAGGTGTGTGTACCTAGAGGATTCCAGAGAGGTGGCTGATGTGGGATAGTCAGCATTTGGGAACCAGGGCAGTGCCAGCTAGTGGAAGCAGTGAGCATGGAGTTGTCTGATGTGTGCCAGGAACAGAAGTGTTTGCAAGGTGTGGGGAGGAATGGGGTCAGGATGGGGATGAAGTAGCTGGGAGGTAGGGTAGTCTATAAAGGGCCTTTTTGTCCCACTAAAGACTTCCTCAAACAGGCAGCAGGAGCCATGGAAAGCTTCTGGGGAAGGGGGATGGTCTCCCCAGTCCTGCTGAAGACTCCCCCACCTTTGGGATGCTCCTTGGGACAATGAGACTTCACCTACTCTGTCACTTGGAGTCCTCTTGAGAGTTTTCTTTCCTCTGCTCTTTGCCCTGAGTCCTGGCTCTTTCTGTCTCCCCAACCTATCTCCAACCGGCCCTTGCTGCTGCAAGTCAGGGAGGCACAGCTCTTAATGTGTGGCTTTGGAAGTGTTCTGGTCCTGACTGTGTTACTTCCTAGCTGTGAACACACTCTGAGCCTTAGTTTCTCCATCTGTAACATGAGTGATTGTAGCAGAACTCCATGGGGTTGTTACGAGGATGAATCAGCAGCAGGCACATAAAGATTTTGCCCAGAGAAGATACTCCATAAATGACATCTATTATTACTGTTTGTTTTTTTGAGACAGGGTTTTGCTATGTGGCCCAGGCTGGCCTCAAACTCACAATCTTCTTGCCTCTGCTGGGATTGTAGGTGTATGCCACCATGCCTGGCAGGATATTACTACTATTATATTTTACCTTAATTTTTGTTGTTCTCCTTTTACCACAGTGACCCAAATCTATACTGTGTTTTCCAGCAAAACTGTGGGAAGTCAACTTGGCCTTGGTCTTTTGGCTGGGCTCCCTTTTGTCTCAAGATGAACCCAGGAAATGGCAGGCAATTCCTTGTTTTCCCCTCAACTGCTGTGTTAGTCAGACTTTGCACTGAGACAGAATGCTGGACAGAAACAAAGGGAGGAAATATTTATTTTGGCTCATGGTTTCATAGCTTCAGTCCATAGTCCTTGGCTCCATTGAGTCCAGCCCTATGGTAAGGCAGAACATCATGGCTGTGGGAGCTTGTACAGGAGGAGTCTGCTCACCTCATGGTGCACAGAAGCAGAGCGCAAGGAGGGGTCAGGACCAGACACAGCCTTCAAAGGCATGTACTTCCTCAAGCTAGGGCCCACCTCCTAAAGTCTCTAGAACCTCCCAAGATAGTGTCACCAGCTGGGGATCAAGTCCCCAACACATGAGCCTTTTGCGGGGGACACTTCAAATCCAAACCATGAGACATATACCCCTGACCTCCCAAGAGCTGTCCATCTCATAATGCAAAATGCATCCAGTCCATCTCCTTGAGCCCTTATTGTCTTAATAGTTTCAACATTGTTCAAAAGCCCAAGTTCAAAGTCTCATCTGAGACTCAAGACAACTCTTAGCTGTGAGCCCCTGTAAAATCAACAACTTACATGCTTCCATCATACATTGGCACAGAGTAAACCTTCCTATCCCAAAAGGGAGGAGCAGGAAATTAACAAGGAGCATTCAGACCAAAGTAAGACTGAAAGCCAGCAGAGCAAGCATTAAATCCTGTAGCTCCATGTCCAGCAACCTGGGCATGAAGTGTCATGAGTGAGCCTTGCCCCCATGGCCTTGCTGATTGCAGCCCACAAAGCCTCTCTCCTGGGCTGGCTCCATTCATGTCCTGAGGCTTTTCTAATTAGACAGTCCATGTTTCTGGCATCCCTAACTTCCTTGGGTCTCCATTGCAGTATAGGCTTCACCCTCACATCTTTACACATTGCCCTCTCAGGTGCTGCCTTCAGGGATGCTGACCTCCCAGCTGTTCCTTTGAAATCTTGGTGGAAGCCTCCACAACCCTAAAACTCTTGCATTCTGCAGGCCTGCAAAACTAGCATCATCTCATGAATACACCAAGGTTTGCTGACACCTTTAGCAGTAGCCGGGCCTCCTTGGGCCATGGCTGCAATGGCCTCTGAGTGCCAGGACAGCTGGGCACAGTGAACAGAATCCTAGGGAAACAACTTCTTAGGCAGCCCTGTGCCAGCAAGGTGTCCCAGGGGCTCTCTTTTCTCAAGGAAACTCTTTTTAATGAATTTACACATGTATAGCCTTGAGGCTGTGATAGATGGGGTCTTAGCAATTCCTGAGATGCCCTAAAGTCATCATCTTTCCTATTGTCCCAATGCAAAGTGTTTGTCTTCTTTAATGGCACTAATCTCTTCAGAAACCATGCCTTTTTAGCCTCAACTTTTCTGACCAAACTGCAAGTTTTTCAAAACAAAAAGCTTTGCTTTTTGCTCTTTATTCTTCATGTAAGCCTGGCTAAAAGCAGCCAGGAATAATGATGCCACAGTCTGAATGCTGCACTGCATTTCTTTGACCAGAGTAATGAGTCCATTACCTTTAAACTCAGCCTCCCACAAAGTCTTAGGGCATGGGCAAAATGTAGACAAGTTATTTGCCAATATGCAATTCAAAGGGCCTCTAGTCCAGTTCCCAGGAGAGTTTTTGTTCCTATCTGAAATCTCATGAGCTTGGCCTTCACTGCCCACATTTCTGCTGATGTTCTGTCTTCTGAGCTTCCACCAAAGTTGCCCTTTAAGCTCTGCTGACAGCTTCTCTAACCCACATCTCCAGACTCTTCCAAATTCCTTCCACAAACCAATTCCCAAGGCTTAAGCTTCACACAGTCAGGTTTGGTCACTGTTGGTTGCTCCTTCCATTAGTTGCTGGAATCAGTTTTCTGCATCAGTTACTTTTGTGAGCTGTGACCAAAATACCCGAAAGAACAATTTAAAGGGAAGAAGGATTGGCTCATGGTTTCAGTGGGTCCAGTCCATGGTTGCTTGGCCCCATGGACTTGGGCAGAACATCATGGTGGTGGGAGGTTCTTCACCTCATGGCTGACAGGAAGCAGAGAATGGGGACCAGGATGGGGCACACACCCACTGACGGACTCCCTCCACCTAGGCCCCACCTCCTGTGGTTTCTAGAATCTCTCAAAATTGCACCACCCCCTGAGGATCAAGCCCTCAACACATGAAACTTTGCAAGGGGTGGGGATGGAGGAATATTACCTAAGCCATAACAACAGGCCTCATGTGGCCTGGAAAAATCTTCCCTCTGGGAGTGAAACCTCCAGGACCAAGGGAGGTGGGGCATAGGGAAGTGAGGACAGAGAGACCTGGGCGCCATAATCGTTCAGGGAGCGTCCCCTTTTGGGAACACGAAGGAAACATATACCACCATATGCAACAGCACAAGACGCAGAAGTTTGTATCATTGCAGAAAATTCTACTGGACAGCACTTCTCTAGGAAGAAAGGAACTAGAACATGCAGCACTCAAATTAGTGGGGTAAATGGAACCACACTGGAAAAACAAAAGCAAATATGGGGAGAAAAAGTTGTAGCTTGATAGCATGGTAAGTAGAAGACACAAAAAGAAGTGGCAGAAGCAGTAATTGTAATAAATGTGACTCAGTTTAGTTTTTTTGAAGCAGAACGTCTCACACTGATCTTGAATGCATCCAGCTCTGTGCTGCTTTCCCAAGAGACACACAGCAGACTAGGTCTAACCTGTCAGGTTGAAGTGGCCTAAACACAGGCAGCTCAGGTGAGCAGGGGAAGCAGGGAGGGGAGGTCACTCTTTGTGTACTGGGTTTTGTCCTCTATTTGGAATGATGATCCTTTTATAATTCCTGAGTTTATATTTCTGTCTCTTTTCCTTAATCACACTGGCCAGGATTAGCTATTGTCTTAGTCGTGTCAACCAACTTGAGGGTTATAATCAGCTAGCTTGGCCTTTTTTTTTTTTTTTCTCACATTTCATTATCATCTGCTTTTCTATTCATTAATTCCACTTGCTCCTTCGAATTTTCATAGCTTCTTTATTCAAATGAGGCAGGATGGATAGGCAAGAAGTCAGGAAAATTAAAATTAATAAATATTAAAAGCCCCAGACTCAGAAATGTGAACCAGGAAGTAAACTGGACAAGGAAAGAGCTCTCCCTTACAGTGTTAAGTCGTATGAGTAGGGAGGCACACGGGCCTCTCTGTGGCCGCCTTCTCCCTTGAGATGTTAAGAAGCTACACACTCTTCTCAAATGGCTAAAAGAGACAGAAAACCAGAGCGCATGTCTGGCAAAGTGAAGTCCTGAAATTGTAACTATTGCCCCTGTGTTTTGGGTGGATTTAGATCACATCTTATGCTTTCGAATAATAAACAGTACCCACCTCGGCCACCCAGGAGTTACTAGATGACAGAGACATGACCGCATGTATTTCCCCAGCTCAGAGAATATAAAGCCCACAGAAAGGCTACTGTGTTTGAGCTCAGCTCCCACAGCTACACGAAGCGGGAGGTGCTTTGCTCCCCCCACTTCCCTATTTCTCCCTAGTTTGTTCTGTTATGCTAAAATACATCTTTGCTAAAACTTCCACCTTGCGAAGCTCTCCTTTTTGTGAGACACCTTAAATTCTTGTCATTGTGAATTTCAAGTTCCTGTGACACTGCCTGGAAACTGGAAAGGTTTAGGAACTTCTTCATCCCTTATCTGGTGACACAAAGGCTTCCTTACTTATTCTGAGGTGATCTGGGGGTTTCTCATAAAAAGTTACAATTTTCACGGGTTTACCTCTCATCACATCCCATAGTTTTGGCACATGGGCCTTTTGTTCTCATTCAGCTCCAAGTAGGTGGTTATTTCTGTTTCATGTTTTCTTTATGGTAAGTGGTTTATATATGCATTTAAATTTCTGAAAGTAGAGTTGGGTGTGTTTGATGATGTTTTTGCTGGACTTTTTTTTCCACCTCTTGGAATGAAAAAACAAAATGCGTGGTTAATGAAAAAATTCTTGCGCACTATGCCAGGAACCTGCTTTGCCGTTTGGTAGGCCTTTCACTCCACATTTACAGAAAAGAGTGGGAAGAAGTCACCTCTTCCTCCTCCTTGTACCCTTAGCACCAGCCTCTCAGGGATGAATTTCAAAGGGAAGAAGGATGACACCAAGCTTGTGGTTTTTAACCACGTGTGTAAGTGGGCAAAGGACTGGTAAAAAGGAACCGGGGGCCAATAGCTTTTATCTTCTGACCTCTCCCAAGAGCCAGTGAGAAAGGATTTATTAGACCCATCTATAGATCGGACACAAGGTCAAGGAGAAGAGGTCTCATGGACCAAGTGGTGGGGTGAGGCCTTTGCAGTCTAAGACCTTGCTTTCCGCTGCACTAAGCAGCCAACAGTGGCAGGTCTTCTAACATGGTGGAGTAACATTCAAGGGACACTCTCACATCCTTGCTTTAGCTTCTTCCCACAGTTCTGGAAGCAGGCAGATGGTCTTATTTTCCCCATTTACACAAGAGCAAACCAAGACTGAGAGACCAGAAGTAACTTGATCAAGGGCAGCTGAGCAGTACACAGAGCGAGGTGAGGTGTGCAGAGATTCCTCCCAGAGAGGCTTAGAACATCCTTCATGATCAGAACTCTGACACTGGGCATCGGGGCTCACTCTCCCTTAGGCTCCAGCCACTCTGGCCTCCTTACTCATTGGTACCAGGGTCCAAAGCCTTCAGCATCTACTCACATCAGTACAGAGGTTTCCTAACCTCTCTGCACCTTAGAGAATGATGCTAATACTATGTTAAAGGGTTATTGTGAGAACTAAATGAGAAAATATGTATAACGCTTTTAAAACAGGATCTGCCATTTAGTAAGGGTCCCTAACTATTACTATTCATGGTTGTCAAATCTACCCAAATCTGTCTCAACCCAAGGCCTTTATACTTGGTCTTCCCTCTGTCTGGTCTCTTTTGTCCAATCCCCACATAAAATTGTGTTATACACCTACTGACCACCTTGCCTTTTCCTACCAAGATGTGAGGTTCTTCACAACACCCCTGTATTGTGAGTTCAGTAATGCGCCCTGGCGTGTGGTACATGAGTGATGACACATTTGGATGGGTGAATGGATGGGTGGTGACGTCTGTGGATGGGCATATAGAGTGATGGGTATAAAGATGTGTGGACTAATGGATGGATTTTAGATAAATGGATCAATAAACCAAGGGATGGTTGTGTGAATTAAGAGGTAGATAAATGGGCATATAGATGGTGACTTTGTGGATGGATGGATGGACAGGTTGATGGATAGATGGAAGGAAAGAGCAAAGGAAGGAAAAGAAGGAGGAAGAAGGAAGGAAGGATGGACAGAGGGAAAGAGGTTGGAGGGAGGGAAGAAGGAGAGAATGGATAGACGAATGGATGGCTGAACAGACGATAGATCGACAGATGGAGGGAGACTGGTGCACAGACACTCTAACAGACACCATTCTATTACTTTTGTTTTCTAGGCCATCCCCCACCTGTCCTGCTCCTGTGTGCTTCTGTGTCCTTGCTGGGTGGCCTGACCTTTGGTTATGAACTGGCTGTCATATCAGGTGCCCTGCTGCCACTGCAGTTGGACTTCGGGCTAAGCTGCTCAGAGCAGGAACTCTTGGTGGGCAGCCTGCTCCTGGGCGCTCTCATTGCTTCCCTGGTGGGGGGCTTCCTCATTGACCGCTATGGCAGGAAACGAGCCATCCTGGGGAGCAATTTGGTGCTGTTGGCAGGTAGCCTGAGCCTGGGCTTGGCTGGCTCCCTGGCCTGGTTGGTCCTGGGCCGCTTGGCAGTGGGCTTCGCCATCTCACTGTCCTCCATGGCCTGCTGTATCTACGTGTCAGAGCTGGTGGGGCCGCGGCAGCGGGGAGTGCTAGTGTCCCTCTACGAGGTGGGCACCACCATGGGCATCCTGCTCTCCTACGCCCTCAACTACGCCCTGGCCAGCACCCCCTGGGGCTGGAGGCGTATGTTTGGCTGGGCGGTGGCACCAGCTCTACTGCAGACCCTCAGCCTCCTCCTCCTCCCTGCCAGTGCTGGGGAGCCTGTTGACCACAAGGACCTCATCCCACTTCAGGGAGATGAGGCCACCAAACTGGTGCGGCCACGGTACACCTTTCTGGACCTCTTCAGGACCCGGGGTGACATGCGAGGCCGCACTGTGGTGGGCCTGGGGCTGGTGCTCTTCCAGCAGCTCACAGGGCAGCCCAACGTGCTGAGCTATGCCTCCACTGTCTTCCACGCAGTCGGCTTCCGTGGCAGGTCCTCTTCCGTGCTGGCTTCCGTGGGGCTCGGTGTGGTGAAGGTGGCAGTCACCCTGACTGCTATGGGGCTGGTGGACCGGGTAGGCCGCAGGGCCCTGTTGCTTTCTGGCTGTGCCCTCATGGCCCTGTCGGTCAGTGGCATAGGCCTAGTCAGCTTCTCAGTGCCCATGGACTCAGGCCCAAGCTGCTTGGCCATGCCCAATGCCACCCGGCAGTCTGGCCTCCCTGGAGGCTCAGGTCTGCTGAGGGGCTCCTCTCTACCTCCAATGACAAGAACAAGAGGGGACCAAGGGGAGCCAGTCTTGTCAGCCAGAGAGAGAACCAAGCCCCATCCAGGAGCCAGAGATGCCACAGCCCCTCCCTGGCCAGCCCTGAGCGCCACCACCCCAGCACGCCCTCCTCCCACCTCAGAGCACTTCCTGCTGCACTGGGCCGCACTGGTCTGCATGATGGCCTTTGTGGCTGCCTTCTCACTCGGATTTGGACCAGGTAAGAGTTTTCTTACAGGTAAATCTGGAACATTCTATCGCTCTTAGTGGGCAGTTGGGGGCCTTACCAGTCTAAAGGTTACTGGAGTGGGTATTTCCAGGTGTTCCTCCTAAGGTCAAGGCCTAACTATATTTGTAATTGTTTTAAGGCTCTGCAGAGAAAATTTTAAGTTTTAGGCCTCATAAAATCTGGCTCTGCTCCTGGGTAGCTCAGTCACAAAGGCTTACTTAAAAGGAATTTAACAAATAAGGTGAAATCCAACCACCCCAGTTTGCCCAGAACTGCCCTGGTCTCAGCCCTGAAAGCCTTGTGTCCCTAAAAACCCCTTAGTCCTGGGCAAACGGAGCAATGGCTACAGAGATTCTTGAGGCAGTATGAGGAGATTCAGGGTCAGGAGTCTGCCATTCTGTTTGTCTCACACTGGGGGAGGCCTATGTGGTTCAGCCTTAGCCCAGGGGCCCTCCTGCTCTCCTGTCCTAGTGACCTGGCTGGTCCTCAGTGAGATCTACCCAGCGGAAATCCGAGGGAGAGCCTTTGCCTTCTGTAACAGCTTCAACTGGGCCGCCAACCTCTTCATCAGCCTCTCCTTCCTCCACCTCATTGGTAAGTCCTCTGGCCCAATCTGTTGGCCCAGTTCCTTCTGGATCCAGGTCTGGTTTTCTCCAGACAGAGTCAAAGTTCCTGTCTCTGTCAGGCCGTAAATGACAGAAAACCCAATGCAGCCCAGGTAGCTTCATGCAAAACTGACCCCAGGGCTCCAAACAACTGTCAGCCATTCTTCATTCCTTTTCAGCTCTGCCTGCTGCCCGGTAGGCTTTATTCCAAGGCAAACCTGCCTCAGGGTGCAAAAATGGCAGCCAAAAGGCAGCGTGGCAGCCCTTAGAGGGAGAGCACCTTTCCCATTGGCTCCAGCCCAGGTTCTAGGACCAACTCCCATTGGCTCAGCAAGGTCACATTCCCATCCCTGAGCCAATCACTGTGAGTGTTCTGATGCCTAGGCCTAGGCCTGCTTCACTGTGGACCCAAGGCACAGTTCTCAGGGCTCACTTACTTCCCTATTTCCTGTGGCACAGCCAGCTTGTGGGGCTGTGGGGGACACGAAAGATGAAGCCACCCACCATGACAGTCTCTTGTCACGTCAGGGTGCTCAGGCTTCTCCCTGCTGCTGCAGACTTCTGGCATTTCTCTCTGTCTGAAATGAATGCGAGTAATAGAGAGGAGGGAAGGAAAAGGGGAGAGGGAGGGAGTAGGGGTTTATTAGGATTGTGCCCCATGGCTGTCATTCCCATTTCACAGATGGGAAAACACATCCTTCCAAGTTCAGCCAGGTAGGCAGAAGACGGAAACTGGTCCTTCTATCTCTAGCCCAGCACTGTGTCTGCTGGAGAGCAGGGCCCACTGGTCAAGGAGCTGTTGAAGGTGTGGCCATGCCTGGAAGAGAAAGAAAGGTGTCCACCTAGACTGAGTCCCTTCCTCCACAGCCTCCTTTCTCTGACTTGAGTTAACTAAGTTCAAAGGACTCGGAATCATCTGGGTCCTGGTGGACCAGGCCTCCACCTGAGACTCCAGGAAGAGGGGTGCTGAGTACTCCCCTGGGACTGAGCCCTGGCCTCTGTCTTCTGCACCATCGTCACTCAGACACTGGCCAAACTGGCTGAAGTTCAGTTTGCTGAGTGTCGAGTTCACTGAACAATGTCCATGGGCTTCCTGGCTTTTCATGGCTGTGCCCTGCAGCTGTCCTGATGCTACATCTGGTGTCCCTACCTAAGCTCGGGTGGTTAGTGTGTAAGACATGATTAAGTGAGGGGCTTTTCCCCTAAATACAGTTGCCCATGTGTGTGGACTTGTGCCTTGGTTCTCTCCCTTCTTTGGGACTGCCAGTCACTGTCCCACTTTCAGGTCCTTACCTGCCCGCCTGCTGGCTACCCTGAGCCTTGGCTTTGGTGAACCAGCTCTCAGGCTGCAGGGCTGGAGCGATCGCCTGGCTCCTGGCCCACATTCCCGCCTTTCATCCCCAGGTGCCATTGGCCTGTCCTGGACCTTCCTGCTCTACGGGCTGACCGCTGTCCTCGGCCTGAGTTTCATCTACTCATTCGTTCCTGAAACAAAAGGCCAGTCATTGGCAGAGATAGATCAGCAGTTCCGGAAGAGACGGTACAGGTGGACAGGGCGGATCTCGGGGAAGAGTCACCTTGCCTCGCACATATGCATAGGGGACCTTGATCTACACACTTTCTCTCTGCCGGGTGCCTGATTTCTCTCCTGTCTCTTCTCTCCTGACGCCGGGAGTTTTGTCCCATCATAGTTCAGCCAGCTGTTTCCATCTTCCCTACAGCAGCCTTTCATTTACCTTTGAGCCCCAGCTCCCAGGGAATCACAGGAGGGCAGAGAAGTGGAGTCTTTTTCTTTGGTGTGTGGCAGGGCTGAGGAGTGGAGATAGGGATTGAATTCAAAGCCTTGAGCTTGTCAGGCAAGTGCTCTACCACTTAAGCCACACCCCTGCCCTTTTGTTTTTATTTTGCTTTTTGGGCAGGGTCTCAATACCTTTATCTGGGCTGGTCTCCAACTCATGATCCTCATGTCTCTGCCTACCAAGTAGCTGGGATTACAGACATGCACCACCATACCTGACTAGAGTTGTAGAATCTTAGAGTCATGGAACCTTAGAGAATGAACGTACCTGTGGCCTTTAAAAGTTGACTACAAGACAATTGTGGACTTAATCTATTCATTCAGTGGATATTTACTAGGTCCTGACATGTCCCAGGCAGTGTTCGGGGCCTTAGGAAATGTGGCAGGTTAAGAATGATGAGGTCCTTGTGCTCAAGTAAGACCATTTAAGTGGGGGAAAGAGGACAGAAAGTAAATAAGCCAACAAATCATAAATAAGAGTGTTTTAGCTGGGGATATGTAATTAGAAGAAAATGAAACAGGGCATATTTTTCCAGAGTCCAGCTTGGTGGAGAGGGGGATAGAAGAAGCAAGGGTTGTGGCTAACTTAGAGCAGCTGGTCAGACAGGGAAGACTTCAACAGTTTCAGTTAGTGAGAAGGAGGCATCCATATAAAGATGAGGGGAGGAACATTCCAGGTACAGGGAAAAGCAAGTGCAACGCCGTGAGGTAGTATGTCTGTCATATGCAAGGAGCAAGGGAGCCAGTGTGGTTGAGCCAGAGTGAAAGACAGGTGAGGGTGGAAGCTGAGATTGCCAGATGCATAGGATGGAGGTTGCTTCAGGTCTTCAGGTCACAGAGGGGAACTCAGAATTTTAGTGGAGCTCAGAATCTTAGTATCATGGGACCTTAGGCCAATCAAGTAAGAGAAGTGTTTTATTGTTTGTATGTGTGTGTTTTGAAACAGGTTCTCAGCATGTAGTCCAAGCTGGCCTCAAATTCTCAATCCTCCTGCTTCTGCCTCCCTAATGGTGGAATTGTAGGTGTGTGCCACCACACCCAGCCAAGTAAGAGAGATAGGAAGGGGAGCATTGGAGGGGCCTTGTTGTGCTAAGCATGCTTGACCCATGTTCTAGCTCCCTCTTGCAGTAAAGGGGTAGCCACCAGCTCCTGACTGCCCGTTCTATTTCTGGGAAGCCCTGAAAGATTTTTGAAATCCATCTAAGCCTGAGTTGGAGCCATCCTCCCTGCCAGCCCAGCCTGACTCTGGAAGTGATGGAAGACGTGTCTAATATAAAACCCTCCAACCTGGTCCGTCCCAGCCCCATGTCCTCTGCCAGTCGAGCACTCCATGTCTTTGCATGACACCTTCTGCAGGTCGCTTAGTGCCTGCTGTGTTAATTAGAATACCAGTTTTGCAGCTTGCACTAGTCCTAATATAGGGGTCAAGGACTGGGGTAGCAGCTGTGCTCCACGAAGTCATCCAGGGTCCCAGGCTCCTTCTGTCTTTCTGCTTGCCACTTCCCACCACCATCTTTTCCAGAGTCCAGGATGGCATTGTGGATTCCTCCACAATCCTGCAGGAGGAAGGGGGAGGACAAATTCCTCAAAGTCAGACACAGTCACATCCCTTTCGACAGAATTTGACAACACATCCTTGCAGAGGAGCCTGAGAAACATGGTGTTCAGTGGGCAGCCATGAGCCCAGCTAAAACTCAGGATTCTGTTACCAGAATTTCTGCCATATGGGGCAAAGAGCAAAGGAGGCAGAGAGACAGGTGGAAGACAGCTCTGGGGTAAGGTGGGATGTGCCTGCAACTGAAGGGAGTGTCAGACTGGACCTGGGGGCTCCAGGTCATATGTCCTTGGGACAGAGGCTGTATGAGCCACACTGTGGGGACAATAGCAAGCTAGGGGTGTTGGTAGAGTTCAGAGCAGGTCTTTGCTTTGGCATCCCAGTCTCTGGAGCTCAGGGGCTCCTGGCTTCAGAGGTACAGAGGGCGAAGGTAGGGTGTGGGGGTGAACTTGACATCAGAGAACAGAGGGACCAGAGCTTCCAGGGATTAGGATAGCAAAACTAATACAGGATGGTCTCTTTAGTTTGAACTGCTTCAAGCCCTGTGTGATTCCATACAAGACTTACTTTCCCAGGAGAAAGTCTTATTGACCAACCCTGGTTTCTGTGCCCACCCCCTAACTTCCAACTGAGCCAGGATAGGGCAGGGCTCCTTGGTTGACAGTCCTGCAAGATCACATGCAGCATAGGAGACATAGTTCACCAAGAAATAAGAGAATGGAAGCTGGACAGGGCTCCATCCTGTGCCTGGAAGTTGTCCACATCCTCCTGCCCGAGATTTGCTTGTTGGAATTGGGAACCCACATCTTATGAGTTCAAAACTTTCTTTATAATCCCCCCAAGAGAATTCCAAGTCTCTGTTTTAGCCCAGTTTTTCAGGAGTCCATTCATTCAACTCATGGCAAACTGTCACATGCCAGCTCAGAGAGAGGCACTGGAGTAAGCTTCAGGGACAGATCCGTGTCCCGGAGACTGCCTGAAACTGCCTGTCTCTGGACTGAGAGGGTAATCACAGCTCAGCATAGGAGGAGAGACCCTATCACCTGTAACCACACACAAGCGACACTTCAGAGTGGTACTTACACACAAAGAGGAGGCGGGTTGACCTCCAGAGAGAGAGTGGTGGATTTGGGCTGGGTACAGTTTCTTTAGCTGGGGTGCAAGTGGACTGTGGGTGTGCTTATGAACAGGCATGTCCATGAACATTTTAGAGAATCTGTTGCATTTGCTATGCTATTTTGGAGTCATCAGGAAGCACGGCTCTGTGGAATGAATGGATGAGTGCCCAAGGATGGCTTCCCTGAGGAGCTGAGGCTTGAGGGAGGAGAAAAAGCTACCACTCCAGAGCTGGAAGGGAACGTCGTGGCTGAGAAAGCAGCATGAGCAAAGGCTCTGAGGGGAAAACTGTTGGGTGTTTTGGAGAGAAAGACAGCTGACCAATGTGGCCACGGTGTGGTGGGCAGTGGGAGAGGAGGGCAATGAGGGCCAGAGAGGCTGGCCGTGGGTGTGGGGCTGAGCATCAGGAAGGACTCCTTCTAATGGGGGTGACAGGATCAGGCTTCTGTGTTTAGGAAGGTCTCCCTGGCTGAGATGGGGCAACAGTAGACATATGGCAACCTGGGAGGAGCTGTTGGGTGGTCCTGGGGAGAGTGACAGAAAGGCACGTTAAGGCAGGAATCAGGGGATCGGATGGGGAGGGGCCCAGGCCTGCCACCCTCTGATCCCTTGCATTGTCTCTTTGACAGATTCCCCCTGAGCTCTGGCCACAGGCAGAGCTCTGCTGGCATCCAGTACAGCCTCATGGAGGCCACCACGGGCTCCTGAGGAGTCTGTCTGCCTGGAAGGTTCTGGAACATTAGTCTCAGCAGACCACCTCCAGCTTCCTGCCTGCTGCACCTGGAGCATAAGTTCAGGTGATCACTGGGAGTCACCTTGGCCCCAAAGAAGGTGTCTTTTGCTGGGGTGAAAGAGATGAAAATCTGAGAACCCCAAACTCGTCGTGTTGAGAGTAAGGTTCTGTGGAGGATCTATCTTCATACCTTTCCCCCACTGACTTCAGTCATGTCTGCAGTGCTTGTAATGAAAGCACCTTACAGAGTCTCCATTGCACCATGGCTGTCTCAAATGATATCTAGGTACCAATCCTGGAGGAAAGTGGCTCCTGGAATCACCCTTAAATATGTAACTGGGAGTTCTAGTCCCACAGGCCCAACTCCAGGGGTTCCATGTCATGCCTGGCCACTGGTCCCAACGCGCCAAATTAAGAGATGAATAGTGGTGAAGGGCAGAGAGCCAAGATTTGTTATGTGGCTCGGATGGCCGTAGGGAGAGGGAGTGAGCACTTCAGCCCATCTCAGGCTACTGATTCGAGCTTTGGGTTTAAATAAAAGAAGAATTGGGGAGGGGAAGAGGGGTTTGCAGGATTGAGTAGTGCAAGGGAAAGTGTGACCTGGTTGATCATTGACTCAGCTGTGGTTCTGCAAGGGGTTCTGGAGAAGTTGCTATTGCTGTCATCACCTGAGGGGAGCAATCTGGTCCACGAGGGACAGCCTCATCATTATAGGCAATTGTCCTCATTTGGGGGTGGTCTGTCCTGAGAGGCTCTGCTGACCCTTTCCTCAGGGGTAGTTTCTGTCCCCTGTCATGAGGATGTTGTGGATCATTCCTGTCCTTCCTGGAACCCATGGTGACTGCAAGGGAGGGAGACTCAGAACCAATTCTGCAGGTGCGTTGCTCGTGCTATTGAGGAAGAAGTCTGGGGTATACTTTTGTCTGGATCACTAATGTAAACAAAAATTCCTCATTCATGCCAGACCTACACTCCTTCTTCAGTTATGTGAACGACTTGTCAGGAATTTTTATTCCTAGTCTAGTTTTGTCAAGTTATGACCCATTACAGTCATAGGTGGCTTTGGACACAAGAATTTGTCCAAAACATTCAACAAAAGAGTCTGTAAAAATTAAAGCCTATTGAACTTGCACAGACTAATTACAATAAAGAATTTATTATTATTTGCAGATTATGCATCACACATTTATTTCAGTAAAATGTACGTGCACACACACATACATGTTCCCTGGAGAGTGGCCATACTTCCCAGGACAACAGTGCTTGTGTCTGTGCTGAGGACCCATCCATCAGCCCTCTCTCCATGGCCCCTAATCCTACCCTCCTGCTCTGCCTCAGTTCACCTTTCTCTCCTGAACCCTCCCCTCCTTCAGTTCTCCTGTCTGTCTTGTCCTGGAAGAAAAGCTCTTCATTCTTAGGTGGCTTCTCCCCTCTTCAGTTAGCGTCGTGAACTCTTTCTTGCTCTCTCTCTTATTGTTTGGTTGGGGTTTTTTTCATTAGTGTAAATTAATTACACAAAGGGATTTCATTGTAATATTTAAATACATGTTGTATTTAAATCAAATTCACTCTATCTATGTTCCTCTTTCTTAGAGCTCCTCCACCCTTTAGACAGTTTTTAGTGGGTTTCATTGTGCTATTTTCATACATACATATACACATATAGTGTACTTCAACCATATTCTCATCCCCTCCACCCTCTCCCCCTCCCCTGCTGTCCCTCCCCAACACCCCCTCCACGATGACAATGTCTAGATTCTGCTATGAGCGAAAGCACTTGACCCTATTCTGACAGCTCAGGCCCTCCTAAGAGCGATGACTGGCTGCAGTCCTGCTGGTGACTGCAGTGTGGGAATGTGACCTGACCATCTGAATGTTCAAGAAAGGCCAGAAATTCAGCCTTTACTGCAGAGTTTCCTGGCTTGTTAATATGGCAATGATTGTAAGCATAAGACCAGCCTCTCCGCCAAGCAGCGCCCTGTGGCTGGGTCACCGCCCACTGTTGGTGGCTCCATCCTGGCATCCCCCTTTGGCACCTTTCTTGTGTGTTTTTGAGACTCATCTCAATCTCCCTAAAGAACAGTTGCCTTGTAAAGTCAACGTCACACAAGCTCCATCGCCAAGCAGCTTGGTTTGGTGGTTGGGAGGGGGTGACATTGAACATGGAGGAGAAGGTAGCTGGATGGAAGGAAAAGCCCAGAACTCAACCACATCAGCACAGTTGAGTGTGTGACTTGGGTGCGCTCTCATCTGTGTCACGGGGACAATACCACTTACTCTTCAGAAATGACACCTGCCAGTTACTTGGTACAGGCAGGACTCACAGAAGGGGCTTGGGAATTGTTGAGTAACTTTCCAGCAGCTTCCTGGGACGTCTGGCCCCAAGTAAGGAGAACAATGAGGGCAAGGACCAGGAGGCGATTGGGAGGGTGGGGAGGCATCAAAGGACACCTCCAGGTGCTCAGAGGTCTTTAGGGCCAATGAGAAAAGAGAAGTAGTCTGTTCCCTAATCTACAGGGTGCATGAGGCCTCCCCCTCCCGCAACACCACCAATAGTCCCAGATCACTTCTGAGACTCAGTTCCCAAGCCCAAGTCTTATCCCCAGCACCTCTGTAATGTGTGCCCAGTGCTTAACACCTTCTGGTGATGCCAAATTTTACATTGACTACTTACAGCCCTTCTTCCGTGATTTGCTTTTCTACTGAAAAAAAAAGTATTTTGAGAGACTATATTAACTTATTTTCCTTCAAATGTGTATTTGTTGGGTATCTTTTATGTGTCAGGCACTGTTCTAGAACTTGGGGGCACAGCCACAAACAAGCAAGATCCTTGTCCTCATGGAGCTGAAGTTTTCAGGGGAGAGATGTGCTAGAAACAAGGAGAGGAAAGAGAGGGGGGGAAAGGAAGGGAAATAGGGATGGACAGACAGAGGGAGGAGGGCAGAGAAGAAGGAGGAGTAAGAGAAGGAAGGGAGGGAGGGTGGAGAGAGAGGATAAGTAGATGATAGGTAGATAGATAGATAGAAAGAGGTCTGTTACTGATGGTGATATCTGAGCAGGAACCTGCACAGAGGGCTAGGTGACCCATGGCAAGATCTGGGAAGAGCATCTCAGGGAGCAGGCATAGCATATGCAAAGGTCCAGTGGTGAGCCTGAGCAGAATGCACCACCATCAAGGAGGCATGAATGAACAGTGGAGTGATAGAAGAAGAGGAGGAAGAGGTCAGTAGGGGTCCAATTATGAAGGGTCTTCCAGAGCACAGAAAGCATTGAGATTTTGTTCTAAATGTCCTGGGAAGCCACTGGAGGACAGCAAGCAGGGGACTGACATATTCTCACCGAGTACTTTAAAATACTGGATGCTGATAACACAGAAAATGAGTATCAGCTACAGAAATGGAAGAAACCACTAAAAATAGGGTGGGAGCAACACGCTTTCACTGACTTCTTGCCGCAGCTGCTCTGTGTAGGTAACAGTTGCTGGCAGGTGTGTGGGCTGAGGAAGACCGGGGGGGTGGGATCCAATTTCCGCCCCCCAATCTTCTCCAACACTCCCTGGAACATGCCTCCCACTCGTTGGTGAGCACAGCTCCAAAGCGAGAACACCAGGGAAGTCACAGAGGTGCTTTCTGTCACTCTCTCATGTCGGACCCATGTACAGAGGAGGGAGCAGCATGGACAGCGTCCATGTGGAACCAGTGTAGACCAGAGCCAGCTCCCTGCAACCACTGTCCTGAAGGCATCAACTAGAGATGGCTTCTTTCAGGAGGGTTGAAGGCTGTGAAGATGCAGCTCCCACCCCAGAGGGAGAGGCAAAGGACAAGAAAAGGGATAGGTGTGACTCCGAACCCCCCCACCTGAAGCCAGCAAATCTAAAGTGGGGAAGGGGCTGCAGATGAGGAAACCCAGGCTGGCCACCTACCTGCTCCTGTGGCCTCCCAAGACTTAATGACTTTGTGGGTGATGCTTTTCATTGTGGCCTCCTGTAGTTTCTGGCCTAGGCAGTCCCAGCAGCCTGTACATCACCTCTTCCTCTTCTGCACACGTTCATCCACAAACATGGCTCATGTTTTATCTCAAGCATCCACTTCCCCGTCACTGTGTCCTACTGTCTCTGCTAATGTCCAGTGCTCCCCATGACAGCTGGGTGCTGACCTCTAATTGCCAACCCCATCAACAATCCTTTCCGAACATCCGTGAACCTTGCCCGCCTTCCCTCACCTTCTTGTTCAACCCAGATTCTATACCCAGCCATGTAGCTCCTCCCCTGCACACACCCTTCTGTGCACTTGTCCTGGGTTAATTTACACACCTAGTCTCTGTTTGTGTGAGGGCTGTGAATATTGTAGGGAAAAGTAATTCGGTCTGGCAAACAGGTTTCACTTAAAATCCATAAACTCAAACCTGACTTGCTTTCTAATCCCTCTCATGGCCTTGAGTCCCTGCTCCCTGACTTAGTGAGCTCATGTCACCTCCTTGGTGCACCCCTTGCTGGGGCACAGAAATTCTCAGAACAGGGACGAAGTCTTCCTCTACAGTATCTGTGATCTCTTTTAGGCATAGCAGTAGAGCCCCTGATGTTTGGCAGTGAGCATGGCTGCCGAGACTAAACACTACATTTCCCAGACTCCTTTGCAGCCAGGCATGGCCATGTGACTGAGTTCAGGCTGATATTACTGAGCAGAAGTTATATGTTCAAAATCCAGGCAAGTGCTGAGGCAGGGAAGACTAATCCTCTGCCCAGATCCACTTTCCTGTGTTTCCTTTTAGTAACTGACATCCCTCTGTTTTAGCAGGATACATGTCTATCCAGGAAAAGATGCCATTTCCCAGCTTCCTTTGCAGAAAGACCATGTGATTAGGTTCTAGCCAATGGGATGTGAGCAGTAGTGAAGTGTGCATCTTCTGGGTCCTTTCCATGCAAAGAGGCTGTTTGCACTAAATAAATGTGCTCTTCCACTTTTCTGTGGGCCAG